ATTATTTGATGAATATGACAAGCCTATCATGGAATTAATTATTCAATTAAAATAACAAATGTGTAGCTACTGAGATGCGAACAAAAGCGGTATTGCCAATACGTTAAAAAAATAACACTCCTGAAATAAGGAATGCAAATTATCAATCTGATAACGGTAAGTTGTTCTAGAGAATTGAACCTGGGCCTTTTAGAGCTTAAGCCCAAATCTCGATATTGTTTGGCTCTTAACTCCTCTTATAGAATGATCTGCCGTGTGATGATTGAATTAAGCAGCTGCAGCTATTTCATTCTCTTTTATCTCTGACAGAAATAAGTATTGTTTTGATAGAAACGTATAAGAAATAGTCCAAGTTTAAACGTAAAATTAAGTCATTATCTCATTGACTATATAAGAAACTACTTAGATTTCATAAGTCTTCGAAAACTATCTGTAACAAGTATGTATGTTAAACTTTTATCTTTTAAATATACAGTCCGTTGTATTTATATCTATTGTAAATCTTCAGATGTTTTTGAAACAATCACTTTCGGTTAACTGAATAAAGGGGAAAATTCAAATAAAATTTGGAACTCTCAGAAATTTCTTTTGGATTAAAATTTCTTTTGGATTCTCAGAAATTTCTTTTGGATTAAATCTTATGACGTTCCTTATAGCATTAAATTCCGTCAACAGAACAGACATCTTGACGCTTAATATTTTTCCATTAATAAGGATATTCTATTATCTGCACGTAACGTTCTTTTGGATTGAATTTTATAAAGTTCCTTTTACCTTTAAATTCAATTTACAGAATGGACATCTTGGCACTAAAAATTACTTTACCAATAAAGATATTCTATTATCTGGTATTTATACATTACGTTTACAGTTCTTCTGGATCAAATCTTATAATGTTCCTTACACCATTAAATTTACTTAGCAGAACAGACATCTTAACACAGAAAATTATTCTTTTAGTAAGGATATTCTATTATCTGGTATTTATACATTATACCTACAATTCGGGACATGCGAAATATATTCGATTAAACTTGATATTCTACAAATCATTACTACATTAAACTGGTATATTATACATTCCCAAGCATATAAATAAGGATCTTTACTATTAATGCGTATGTAACGACACATATTCAAACATCGTTATAAATATTGTAAACTTTAATGCTTGATGATTACAACAATCGTTGATACCAACTTTCTACTTAAAAAATTACTCACAAATTAGCAGTATATATAAAACATTAAATGATATACTTAATGTAACATTAGCTTCATTTATCCTTTATACTCTTCATATTTGACTTGGAATTAAGAATTCAAAATAACATAGAACAATATCATAAACATACTTATCTATGGTATTATGCCTACTAATTGACATATATATTTGTACGCATAGCACCGAAAAGTAAATTAAAATTTTTTTTTCTGAACTGCAAGCTCTGATAATATTCTACCATTTTTTTAATTATTTAAAAAATTTATAAACTCTTCGTATATTTAACACGATGCTGGCTTAATTTTATAGTTTAATTTCATTTTGTTCTTACTTCGTAACTTTATTCAAATATCCTGAAATATTCTTAAAATAAAATAATTTATTGCGTGTATATTGTAGCAGTAAACTAAAAATCAAGTCTAATTTGTTTCCAGATTACTGTTAAATCGCAAATATAATGATGTATAAAATATTTGTAAATTTAAATATGTAGCATTTCTCTATTTTTAAATCAGTTTAATTTGCATATTTTCAGATTAAAAATAATGAAATTATATTACCACTCCGTTTCCATTAAAGAAGTTTACATTTCCACAATATAATAAAATAATATCTGAAATCATTTCATAAACAAAATTAGATACGGAATGTAGACGACATCGTATAAATCATAAATGCGAAGCAAAAACCTGTGTTAGGCGTAGATTTTAGTATAGAAACTCTATTGATTTCGAGGGCGGACAAAGTCACTCTTCATCAGGAGCAAAGAAATTTGCAACTGAAAAACCAAGTTACGAAAACGTAAACTTTCGCAACTTGGTTTTTCAATTGTCAATTTCTTTGTTCCTGGTGAAGAGGGATTTTGTTCGCCTTCGAAATCGATAGAGTTTCATGTTAAAACTCTACGCCTAACACGGGTTGTGGTTTCCCTTTTATGACTTATTTGAGTCGTGTTTCTCTTCTGTCTTTCATCGTGTAAATCTTTAAAGTATAACGATATCTTGAATATACTATAAAAATTGAAATATTAGATTCTTGCTGAGATTTTAAACAGCTAGGGTGATTTATAAATGCATTTGCTAACATAGAATGAATTTTTATACAATTTATATTCATATTAAAAGTAAAATATAATAATTGTTAATTAGAAAAAAATTATTTAAAAGACTTAAGAAACTAGGAACTAGAAAACGCATGCGAATAGCTACGTTAGTTAAGGACTACAGATTTAATTTATGGAACTAGTATTTTGAAATCATGCATAAAATGTTTTAAAAACACTGAAAGTATACATAAGGAGTATTGCAAAATTGGGTTTCTGGTGCCACACTCATAAGTCAAGGGTGTTCATTTTCTACATTTTGTTATATGATAACAAGTGATGAAATTTACTCAGTCCAGTGCAAATATTGTTATTTTCTGCTAAGGATAACTATTTCTGCTAAGGACTTGATAACATACCTCTTCACTACTGCATATACACAGTACTGATGTCTAAACTATACCGAATTGAACAGTCTAAAATACACTACCGGCTGACACACCAATCTTAAATGACGCTATAAATGTAGCGGTAATTTAATGACTAAGGTAAATCTATTCTCTTGATAACAACAAAACGGAAAAATATTAATATTTTCCAAAACTGTTAAAATATTGAAAAAGGAATACTGTAAAATACTATGTTGTTTAGAGAATTCTAAGCGAAAAATTTCGTAAATGCCTAAGTTGGTTTAGAGACAGACATTCATACATAATAAATTTCCATTAATGGTAATTTCTGAAAATCTGAGGCGTTAGCAGAAAACCTGGGTGTTAAAATTTTACTATAACTCATATAGCATATATCCATTTACGCAAAATCAATTGGAGATACTTCTTCAAAACCTATTACTAAACCTAGTTACGTGGAAATTATACAATACATTTAACAAAAATAAGTTTATAGAGTGAACATTTTATCTTATTACTTTCTACTGTATTCTTTATTGTGAATACAAATGTTGAATGTTATATTTACTCCTGGGGTTAAGAAATATTCTTCTCTTTCACTAAAGAATAAACTTTTAAAACCACAGTTACGATCAAATAATTTTATTCCAAAACGAAATGTTTTGCATTTTTTCTTTTGATTTGGATAATATCCCATTAAATATTAAATAAATATGCTTATTGTATTTTATAAAACTACTGCATACAGTGTTTGTTCTTTAATGCATTTGTTTAAAACTTAAATTCGATCATTTTTAAGGATATATTATTAGATAGAATATTTTTACACTTTAAAAGGTACTTCTTTCAATTTCAAATCAAGTCAAAATTTATTCAAGTGCTTTTCCGTCTTATATTAAATACTATATTTTACAAGTTCGTATAATAACTTAAAACGTAAATAGAATATGGTGTAATAATTTTCCGCTACATAAAATTAAGTTTCCGTATCTATTAAATAAGAAATAAAAAGTTATTTAAAAATATTTAACTTTGTATTAGTTAATTTCTGAAGCAAATATTCTGTTTTATTATTCTTATTGAAAACCGTTTTCATAAATATTAAAACTATATTTTATTTGGAAAGCTTTAACGTATAACCATAAAAATGTGTTATATTATTTATAACTGCAAAAAACATATAAGCATTATAGTAGCACAATTGGCCTTTAAAGTTTTTAGAATGTAAAAAAATTAATTACGTTGCACTCTTTTACAAGTTTCCATGTCCTTAAGGGATATTTTAAAATGTAATAATTTAGAATTTAAATTAATACAATGGAAAGCAATTTTGTATTTAAATTATCCGTAAAATTTACCCCAAAATGTGCTGCAGGTTTTCCAGTAAAAGTTTCTTCCTTTGTATTCATTGTTTGAACATAAATTTAGAATTAATTTTTTATTATCTGTTACTTAGTTTTATTACTCTATAAAAGTTTTGAAGTGACATGTATTTAAATGTTAAGCCTAACCTGGTAAAGAGTATTTTAATTTTTTAACTCATGAAATATAAAAGTGGTTTTTCTCATAAAAAATGGAAATTGAAACTAGGCCTTTAGAGAATTGATAAGTTTGGGTGGCAATGAATATTTATGGCTTTCATGAGATGACTGATTTGTTGCTTCAATGTTCTTCACAAATGCCAAGAGAATCCAACTTCTTTTAAGAGTTTAAACAGCTCAATTATTCCGCGCATTTTATAAAACAATTATCTTCCTTAAAATCGCTTTATACTTAATAGTCATATGGAAAATACTTTGGTCGTTGATCATTGTTCGTTGTATCCCGCTCTAAAACTTCGTGTTTACATTCGGTGGTTTTAAGAAGGTGCTCAGATATTCTTCATAAATTTAAATTTAATCGTCGCATGCTTTCTCGTGTGAAACAGTACGAATAAAGAAAATGATTCTTCCCGAGAGGGAAATGTTTTGGTGGAATATATAACAAAAATTTACATGCATATGCTAGCAAGTATATAAATTCTAAGAGAGTGAAACAAATGGTTGGTATGTAAAAGGAGATGCTGCTATCCAACTGTTTTACCTGTCTAACTAGACTAGACTGAGCTAATCCATGCGCTTAATCCATGCATTCGTCGTTGCTTTTTTTGCGGGTTTTTACCTTTCTCCTAAAACTCTTTGGGATAAAACCGTGGACAGTGTGCTGGGCGCATCCCAGCAGTTCGGCACGCTCACGCACGTAATACACTCATTATCCAGAGGAACACAGCACGGGGGAGCAGTGTTGGGCTAATCCAGCAAGGGTGGATAAGGTGGTGATGTACCTTTTTTCTTCTGCTGCTGCTTGTTTGGGTCCTTTTGCTGCTGGTGGGGCGGCGGCGGCTGTAGCTGCTGCTGATGAAAGGTCGCCGAAGCTGACGGCGGCGGGGATGGCAGTTGGTGGGGCTGATGGGACGGCGTTCGCGGCCGCCCCTTGTGCGGGGACGGCGGCACCAGCGGTCCTGAGGTTCGGCCTGCTGTCGTCTGGTGTTGCCGCAGTTGCCGGCCGATCACGGCAGCGCTATTCATGTCCGAACGCGCTACGCGGTCCCACTACGGATAAGGAGCGGGGCTCGCGGCGGCGCCCCGCCGAAGCCTCCGCCACCGCTGCTGCTGGGCCCCATCGACGAGATGCCCGGGCACGACATGGCAGAGGATCCGACGCCAACCATCTCGCCGATCCCGGGTTGCCTTCGTCCGAATAATGACGCCACTGGCGAGCGCCAAGAGATGCGCCTCACGCCAACGACCTCAACCTTCGTGTCCTTTCTTCCTCCTCGGATGGGGGAAAAGAACCAGGCCAGTGGGGCAAACCATCTAAATTTAATTTTCCATCTCTACTCTGCACTTACATAATCTACATGTTTAGTTTTCAGTGATATATTATATAGTTCTCAAAGTTTGAGTTGAATCCAAAGTTTGGAAGAGATATCCGAGCCAAAGAGAAAGCACGAATAGTTCATTTCAAAAGCGGGGGTGGGGTAATCAGAGGTTAATCTCCTTCTTAAATATCCCAATTCATTGCTTAAACAGCAAGCATAATCCATGTTATTTCATTCTTTTAAATTTATAGACGTTTTTATAGAACAATATTAAGGATTCAAATCCTCCATGTTTGACAAAATTGTTGAGAAAAATCAGTTTTCCAAATTCTGATTGTTCAGTATATTGCTAATTAGTAATAACTCTATCTTGTAAATTTCATATCTGTGTGATAATTGAATGACGTTAGAAATGTTTTTAATATTTTATTTTCATTTTAAGGTAGTTAAGTATAGAAGAAGTAAACACAAATTTCTCCTTTTTGTACTTTTATTGCATAAGTTATAAAAATTCATAATACCTAGAAGATGATATTCTCTTGGCATTTTTAAAAAATTGCTAAGAATATATAATAATAGCATACTTTATTATATATTCTTATTATTTTGATACTCCAGTATAATAGGCATATTAAACATATTATAAAATGCTGAAATTTTGAAATTCGCAGAAGATATAGAAAGTGCTATTAGTTTAGCAGAAAATCGGAACAGAAAATACTTGAATTATTGAAAAGTATAAAAGAAAATGTTTAAGATATTCATTAAATAAAATATAGATGAAATTTTAAAAACTGCAAAATACTCAGTTATATCCAGTACACTAATTTTAAGTACACTTTTGATTAAAAAATAAAAGATAGAAGAAAAATAAAACATATTTTTTTATATTTTATTGTTGCCGTTATGTTGAAATAAAACTTTTTTACGCAAGAAAAATTTTAACAAAACTAAAATATCAGTACTCCATAAATACAGTATTTATACTTTTCAAATCGCCTTCCCCCATTTGCAGAACATTTACGGCATTAAAAGTCCATAATTATAAGAATACCATCAGTGAAGCACTTTTTTTCTGCAACTAAGTACCTAAAGTTGACTTCTAAATAGCGGAAAATTAAATTTATTATCGTATCTTTTTATGTAATTATAGTGTAATAGTTTTAAATACAGTTATTTTACATATATTACAAATCTGAAAATGTACATCCTAAATTCGTCTACAAATATACAATGTAATAATAAGTGAAAAACAGGAATGTAGGTAATAATTCAGTAGATTTTTACATGGTTAATAATTTTTACTTAAAAAGCATTTACATTTTTATATGTGTTGTGAAAGAGATATTACTGTCTGTGGGGTTAATATACATAAATGCGGATCTTTCCTAATCTTTTTCTTTAAAACAAAAGTCATCTAAAATATAGTGTATTGGTAAGTAAACTCTCTGGTCATACCTATTTAAGGAAAATTAAGGTCCAGTAATTTTTAATAAAAATTAAGGTAGTTTGTTATTTTTGAATAAGTTATCTTATGCAGAGAGGTAGAGATATAAGTTTTCCATATATGTCTTAACTCTTTGAGATAAATATGATTAAAATCAACCTATTTTCTGACCTATCATAAAGATGGGAATTTTGGCATCTTGGTTAAATGATAAAACCTTCTCAGTTTTTAATGGCATTTCGTAACGTAACTTTAATTAAAACTGTAACAAAATATTAAATTTGGTGACTAAGATACTACGAATCAATTTTATTCTTTATTTAGATTTTTATAGTTGTTTCAATCTATTTAATTTTGTAAATGTTACGCCATAGAGAAGCTAACTGTAATATCAATGGTAGGTCGATTTTTGTGCAGGATCTGGCTATTTGTCTTTTGTCTTTTGGCTTTCTGAATGTTTTTTACATGTTCTGAATGTCCCTTGTGATGCAACTGGAGAAATATTCTCAACAATGACACATATAAATGCCCGACTGTATTGGCTATATTCTAGACGAAAGCCTTGTCCGCAGATATCTGGCCGGAAGAAAAAGATTTTTCAAATTTTTTGCATTTTTTATGTTGACACCATGCATATTAAAGCTTGCTCTTTCATTGCATATGTAGATTTAATTTCTTTACTATAAATAACACAGAAAAATGTACTATATTATTTTAATCTTCTGTTTCGTTAATTTACCGTAATTATAATCTATATTTATTGGCTTGAAATAAAATATTATTTATTATAAGTTAATACACAGTCATACCCATTTAATTCAACAGTATACCAGGGTATATGAATAAAGTCTAGTTTTATTTGGAAAATACGCATACTATCAATAACACATCGTTCCCATGTAATTTGGAAAATATGCGGCTTACAAATATTAACAGAAAACAATTATGTAGCGTATATGCGTCTAACTTGTATTTATTTACCCCATAAGTCACTGCTTAGCCACAAAAATTCTTTATTGAAATCATTTAAAGATACGTGACTAGTTCAATTTAGTTTTAGTTAAATGGAAATGGATTAAGCACATTTCCATTTAACTAGAATTAAACTTTAATTAAACATTTGACTAAATTTTTGTTGTACAGAAAGAAAAAAAAAATAAGTACAGAAAAATAAAGGCATATACTTTTAGTTTCAAGATCTACGCAACTAAGAATTAGTTTTTTTGTATTATTTTATTAAAATTAGCCGCCCTGATCAATATAGTGATTTACGATACTGACTGCCATAGCGCTGCGATCAGCATAGAGGCACATAAAATACTTGTCAGCCGAAAGTCTTATGGAGAATTTGGTGGAACGAGAAAAGGGGTGGGAGATCCTCAGATCTGTCTCCTCGGGGTTCTCCTTCAAATAGATCACCTCTTCAGAAAAATAAAAAATAATTTTATATTTAATTATCCGAATTAAGCAGCTTCTTTATTTTGTTTAATGAAAATAAAACTATTTTATTTTTTAAACTCCATTGGAATAAAACGGAATAAATGAACAATAAAAATGTCCTTACTTGCATTATAATAAATGTGTATGCGGCTCTCAGAAGGGAGGCAACGCAATTAATCGAATTTTCTGATTATCTGAATAACTAGTAATCTCACTTGATACGGTTAGTTGGAGTTGTACTGTATATGAAATTTCGTAGAATTATATATATATTTCAAAGCACACTCTTTCCTTTTAACGTCGAGTTCACATAATGAAAGTCTAAATATATTGCTGCTTATTTTATTAGGCTAATGCCATATTTTTAACATTTAAAAATACAAATTTTTATTAGTAACAGTTTCCTTACATCTATGCATTTAATATGTTTCATAAATATTTATTAAAAAATAATTGTAATATTTTTAATAAAATTTATAAATGTATTTCACTCATAAAATTTAAGGAACACATCAGAAAGAATCTTAAAGACTTGTAGAGTCACTAGGTTATTTTTTTTCAGTCAGAAGACGTGAAAAATGTGTTGTGTCCTCGCGGCGACTCGAACCCTGGACCTCCCGTGTACTCGTCGAGTATGCTTCCAGTTACGCCACGAAAGCATGAGGAGAAGAAGGAGCAAGTACTTTATAGACTTAATCCAATAGGATAATTATTTATGTGTCATGATTATAAAAAAAACAATTTTTAAAGCTACTTCTACGGTAAGTTTAGAATTTTGAATTTTAAATTAATTATAAAATATTCTATTAGCACCGAATAGGCAGAAATGAAAAGCATCTTCACCTGTTAGCGTTTACATCTGATGAATATAAAATTAAGCAATTATTTTCTTAACTTTTGCAATTTGTAATAATAAATTTATCTTTCACAATTAAAAAATTCACTAAATAGTGAGTGAATTGAAACAATAATGTACTAAATTTAAATAATAATCTTCGCATTGCTTCAGTTTAATCACGTAATTTTTGACATAACAATTCGTTTAAAGCCGATAGCAAACAAATCTCGAATTCTGGTGCTAATAATTCCAAAGAATATTTGCTTAGTATGCATACGAATAGGAAAATTGAGCAACTTATTTAATTCTGTCTTAGGAGAGTTATTCATTCATTGAATGAGTACCGCTGTCTTTAATGGCGGTTTAATATTATTTTGTCTGTAAAGTTGTTTCCTTATACATATTTGTATAATAGTGGGAAAACAAAGATACACGGGTTATTACTATTCTTTGTTCATGAGTTTTCGGCTATTTCTCGGAATATATTGTTAATCTAGTACTGAAATCAATCTTCTAAATTGCGACTACATCAATCATCTCAGTATATAAATGTACTTTAATGATGGGATAAAATTTACTAAACTACAACATACAAAGCATGAATTAACGTTTAGTAACTGTCACGAAAATGAAATAATAGAAGCTGAGAGAATGCGAATATGGAAATAAAATATCTCTTAACTATCTCGTATATCTCATTTTGCAGCATGTATATGGGAAATGTCGTCCTGACCTCACAGATCATTCAGTAAATTATTATGAATATAATCAAAAATCCGGAAAATAATTGAGACAATTCTTCTATAAAGTATTCAACAATTAAAGAGGAAATTATCATTGGATGTCTGTCAAAAATATAAATCCTTTCTTTGTGAATACTGGTGACCATATGCCGACTGTACAAGCTCAAAAAAAAATTTGATGTGCACACTGCATGATTTTCTTGTAAGGTCAATTCAATTATACACACTTTTTGCTCCACTATAGTTAAACTGATTTCCTCGAATTATTTTAACTTAATGAACCGATCCCTCACAGCAAGTTGAAAATGATATAAAAAATGTTTCAGTCTTGAAATATATCCCGGTCAATTTTTGTCTTACGGGAT